TTCCTGCTGGGCCCCCTCTACACTCCAGGCTGCGAGAGGGCCCACCCCTAGGGAGGGGCCTGCAGAGGTGGGGTGGGGTGGGGTCTTAAGACACCCCTGCTCAGGCTAGGAGCCTCAGAAGGTGCAAGTTCTGGGACAGATGGCTCCGGCCACTTGCCCCTGTGCCCTGCGCTTTGGGGCCTGGCCCTAGCACAAGCTGTCTAGGGCTCCCTCAGTGGAGGACGCCCACCTGCCGGGCAGAGCCTGCCTTCTGCCATCCCTCCTGGCCCAGAAACGTGGCTACGTAGCCTGAGTGAGTCCACGCCCTTCCCGGATGGCTGTGGGCTCTCCAGTCCCTTTGTGCTTGGATTTGGTGGTAAGGATTTGGGGTTGGGGCATGGCTGGGCCAAGAGGTGGCTGACACAAAGTCGGTGTATGAGCCCACGAGCGCCGACGGGGAGGGGTTAGGGGAGAAGGCAGAGAGGAGGGTAAGGGTGGCCTGGGGTGAGTGGGAGGCCAGGACGTGGGGAGCCAGAGGGGCAGGGAAGGGGCGAGGGCAGGTGTCATGGGGCAAAGGAGTGCATCACGCTTTGAAGAGGGGAGTAGAGGCCAATCAGGAGGGAGACCGCGGTCGGGGGAGGGTGTCTACGCTTTAGTGCTTACTAAGTTGGGAGACCCCTCCGATCTCAGATCCTGGAAGACAGGGCAGAACAAAGGGTGAAGCTGCCCTTTCTCTCCCCTCTGCCACCTCTAGCCATGGAGGGACAGACCCCAGAAGGCAGAGGCCTTCCAGAAAAGCCCCTCCCTACTGCAGGCAGCCCCGGGCTGTCCTCGCTGGGTGCCGTCTTCATCCTCCTGAAGTCCGCGCTGGGTGCTGGCCTGCTCAACTTCCCCTGGGCCTTTGCCAAGGCGGGGGGTGTGGCCCCCGCCTTCCTGGTGGAGCTGGTAAGTCCTGGGAAGCATCTAGGGGTCTCCAGGGCAGGCGAGAGATGGCTTCAGTTTTCCAGTTTTCCCAAGTGGGGTCCTCAGCATTCCTTCTGCAGAGCTTTCCACCTCATAAACTAGCTCTGGGGGTTTATTATTTCTCCTGCTCAGCCAAGGGGGGGTGAGGGTGACCCACTGTAGCCAGTCCATCCCCCTGTGAGCATGGGCGGGGTCTGCAGGTGGAGGCCATCCCCCGTGGGCGTGGGCAGTGTCTGCAGGTGGAGGTCATCCCCCGTGGGCGTGGGCGGGGTCTGCAGGTGGAGCCCATACCCCGTGGGTGTGGGCATGGGCAGGGTCTGCAGGTGGAGGCCATCCTCTGTGGGCATGGGTGGGGTCTGCAGGTGGAGGCCATCCTCTGTGGGTGTGGGCAGGGTCTGCAGGTGGAGGCCATCCCCTGTGGGTGTGGGCAGGGTCTGCAGGGTGGGCAGCAGGAGCCTGAGGCATGGCAGCACCCTGTTTTGGGAACCTGCTGCAGCCCACCGGCCATCTCAGAGCATCCTACTGGGAGCTGCTCAGTCTCGCCTCCTGGTCTTGCTGCATGGCTGGGGCTCAAGTCTGGGGTACAGACTGAGCCGGATCCTGGTGTGGCACCCCAGTATCCCCCTATCTGGAGCTGGGCTGGCCATGCCTGGCATGTGAGGGTCCAGCTCCTGCTGCTTGCTAGGCATCGAGCCCAGCCCAGTTCTGGGCCCGGGTAACGTGCGTTTGTGGACCAGAGCTGCCGGTGAGCTCGTCTGCCTCGTCTTCTTCTCCTAGGGGTGGCAGGGGG